GGCAGGTCCGGGCTGGGGATTCGAACCCGCCACCTTAGGTGTACGTGGCTGGCGCCTTAGCCGGTTGAGCTATAGGCGCCGAGCCAACGCAGTGGTTTTCAACCCCTGTGCCACAAAAAATTTTAAAGACCAATAATTAAATTATTTTCAGGTTATTTTCGAAAAAAAATCAAAGCACAGTTAAGTATATTCTTCTTTTTAACTTTTTTTTTTAATCAACATTTAAGAGTTCATGAAAGTTTAACTATAAGTTCAAGTGTGCCAAGAATTAAAAAAGGTTGAAAATCACTGCTCTAAGGGGAGGGTCTAGGATTTCCAGAAACAATGCAATCTGAGACTCCTCCAAAGAGGGAGAATCACGACATACATAAAGGAGGAAATGAGATTCAAGAGATTGCGTTTGAGGTAGAACAGCCAGATAAAAGACAGGCTGCCTAGTGTTTAGCTTAAGTATGTCTCATGCACATCCAGGAAATACTCATACTAAAAAACTACATTGTTTACCTGAAATTCAAACTTAACTGAGTATTCTGTATTTTTATTTGCTGAATCTGATAAGCCTAGTGTGAGGTCACAGTCACAGCTGAGACCCAGACCTATGTCTCCCACTCCCTGAGACTGAGCTCTCTTCCCGTGCAGAGACACTAAGAGTCATATGCTACGTTAAAAAAACAAACAAGCTTCCCCCAAACCTGCGCTTCTGAAGAAGCTGCCTTTGGTATAACAAGCCCCATGTTACAGAACTAGGAATCCCACTGCCCCTCAGTGGAGCTGCCAAGTGTCCTACTAAAGACCCCTGGCACAATAACAGAACAAAGGGGACAAGCCGTGCTCTACCTCTTTCCTGGACTTGAAAGTATATTCCAGAACTGCTTTCATTGTTCTGAGCACAGTAGAGTTACATGCCAGAGCAAAGAACAAAAACAGAAACCTTCAAACAAACAAAACTTGTAAGACCTCACAGCTCGGTTAAGCCATAATCGAGAGCACTTGAGCCACACTCATCAGGGCTGCTCCCTGGAACCTAGCAAAGGACGAGCTGTGCTCTCTTGGGGCCAGTTTCTGTTGCTTACTGCCAAGGCTGGTGCTTGGAGGTCCTGAGGTGAAGCTCATGCCAGGCCAGCTCACACTTCCTAGAGCACACCCTCTGGGAAATAGGCCCCCTCACTACAGCTAAGGACATGTCCCCTGCCACCCCTGTCCCCATTGCCCCTCACCAGTGTAACCGCAGAGCATGGAGGAAGGCTGAGAGGCCCTCCATGATCAGGAGGATGGCCACGGTCAGGGTGGCAAAGGCGGCGAAGATGAAGAAAAGTGCCAAACCTCCTCCCAAGCTCTTCACACTCAGGCCGATATGGATCACCATGGTCCAAAGCACCTCAGATAGCTCTAGAGGACAAGGAGACACGTGTGGTTTAGTTTGGGAAGAGGTGCCGTGGGTCACCTGTTCTGTCCTCCCTCACCTGGGGGCTCCCTGCATTTTGGCTTTCCCATGGCCTTAGCAGGACCACCGTGCGGAGCTAACACAAGTGCTAAATTTCCTGTCTATACTCATTCTCCCTGGGTTCAGAAGCCAGATAATTCCAGAACTTTCACAACATTTCCCCTCCACTTCACCCCCCACCAGAGGGAGTGCCCAGGGAAGGGGAAAACCATAGTTCTAGAGAGAGAGAGAAATAAACTCACGTGCATGAGCCAGGCTGAGGGCCCAGAGCCGCAGGTAGGAGGCAGTGTTAGAGATGCAGCCCAGGCAGTACTCAATGGTGTGGATAGCCTGGTGGACCATGGTGTCCCCAAAGTCAAACTGTCATGGGAGGAAACCAGAGAGAAGAGATAAGGCTAGGAGGGGAAGGTGCAGGAGTCCTGAGCCACCTGGCACTTTGAGTGTGGGCCAAGGCAGGGGGCTACACTCTTCACAGTTGGTGTCTCACCTTTGTGGGGGCAGGAGCACCCAGTGTTGAGCTCAGGTGGTGATTTCAGCAATGTCTTCCCTGGAAATCCTGCCTGGCTTAACCCTCAACTGGGATATCTCCATGTCCCCATATGCTACATCTTAAACTACATCTTTTTTTTTTTTTTTTTTTTTTT